TTCATTAGAGACCATGTCGCTAAGGAAGATGTAGTTTTAGAATTTGTTGATACTTTGCACCAATTAGCGGATATTTTTACAAAACCCTTAGATAAGGAAAGATTTTGGACACTTAGGAGAGAATTAGGTTTAACTGACCTATCTTCACTTAGTGTTTAAAATAATTTTAGCACTTTTAAGAATAAATGAAAAATGCTTATAATAATAATTTTTGATTGAATTCTTTGCTATTAGTTAGGGGAGTTTATGTTCTTTGGTGAAAATTAATTTTATGTTCAAATAAAGTTTAAAGATTAATTTGATTGATTGAACATAATTAATTTTTGATATATGAGTTGCCAATACCACTAGAGCCAATTAATTTAGCATTTTGAGTGTTTAAAACGGATTTTTGACATTTTTGTGCTTAATGCATCGATACACTTAACAGTGCACCGATGCATCCCTTTAATTGTGCATCGATACATTAGCCGATGCATCGATGCACGCCCTTGAATGTGCATCGATGCACAAGAGCCATGCATCGATGCATCTATCGGGTTTTGGGTTAAAATGCCTCATTTTCTTTAATTTTCTCAAACCCTAAAACTAAAAACTCTCCCACCATTTATCCTTCTCTCACTCTAAATCCTACTCTTGCTCAAAAGCATCGGAAAATCATCGGTTTCTTCATGCTTTTCATCTTCAAAACCTGCTTATATCATTGTTCAGCGGGCTTGTCAATACCATAAACATTATCCCGTCCAAACATGTTGAAACCTTAGTTTATGGTTGTCTTCTAAGTAATATCTTTATCAAACTGGGTCTAGATGTCTCCCTTGATAATCCTATACCACTTCAAAACCCTATCAATATCCCATCCTTGAAGAAATCAGATTGGAAACTGGATGAGGTAACTGGTTTATGGGCTTTTAAACCTGGTAAATAAACTCCGGGAGCTAGTTCCTCACGAGCTGCTCCTAGCTCCTCTCGTGCTCCTCCTTCTCCTCCTCCTCCGGCTTCTGACGATGATCCTGAATTTCAACATCTTATGCAAGACATCGATGATCACGTACTCGGTTACGAGCCTGCATCGGAGCCAGCTCCACAAGAAGATCAAATGCCTCCATATTTTCGTTCATTTTTGGAGACATTTGATTTACGGAATGCGTCCATGGATTCGCGCTTCACATTCATTGAGTCCCATCTCTACCTTGGGAGCTCGACAACAAGATATGAATGATCGTTTGGATGCACTCACGCTTGAGATGAGAGCTCGTTACCCTCCTCCTCCCGATCCTTCGATGGATGAATAGACTTATCTTGCTTTGATTGTTTTTGGGTTTGAAGTTGAATTTAAATTGTTAAAACATTTTGGATTGTCTTTCTTTGATTGTTGGATGTTTGTTTGATGGATATTTGAACTTTTATTTCATATATATTTTGGTTTGTTTCAATATATGCATCATTTACTTTTTAGTTGAAATATGACCAATTTACCATTTCACATGAATATTATTTATGAAACTAATGGCTAATCTCTCTTTTGATTGTGATCTTAACAGCTTAAGCTATATATATATGTTTTATCAATTGGCTATGTTTTTCGAAGCCTTTTTCACTCATTTTTTGAGTCTTTTTGATTTAACAAAAAGGGGGAGAAGTGTTAAGTGTTAAAAGTTTTAAAGGGGAGAAGTGTTATAGTAAGGGGGAGTAATTTCAAAATTGATTTCAAAACTTATTTTTCAAAGAAAATCTAAAATTACTCAAGAGTTTTTGTTATATCAAAAATGGGGAGATTGTTGAAAATATTTTGATATTTCGACATAACAAACTAAGTTTAAATGAATTTTAAGATTTTACAAATAATTTTCTAAAATATATTCGATTTAATTACTCGAATGTCAAGCCATTACTCCAAGTCTTTCAAGATCAATTTTAAACCTTACTAAATGTGTAAATTTGTGTTTTATACTTAAACTATTTTTAAACAAATTTTCACAGTATTTTGAACCAAAATCAAGCCTAAAATCAATTTTTCAAGGGCATGCACCGATGCACCAATCCATGCATCGATACATCAATTAATTTCTTGAACATCGAATGCATTTTATGCATTGATGTACATACCATGCATCGATGCACTCAGGCTATTTCAAAACATCGAATGCATTTCATGCATCGATGCACTCTTAGTGCACCGATGCACTGAGAGTCCAACGGTCAAAATATTTGAATTTTACACTGATGCACCGATGCACCTCGGGTATGCATCGATGCACAGACGTTCCCATCCACTTTCATTAATTGTTTTCACACTTAAATGACTCTATTGACTCCACTAATCATCCCCAAAGTTTAGAATCATTTGAAGGTGTATTTAAACAAGCTTAGAAGCCATTGATCAACAACAAGAAACATCAAGCAACTAGAATCAAGAGAGAATCAAAGGGAAAGCATCAAACCTCAAGTTTGAGCATTTCAAGCCTACTTTTCATTCAATATTCATTTTGCTTTCAAGAACACTTATTGTGCTCAATTGTATTTATTCTTGAGCGTTCTTTCTTTGTTCTAGAATTGTGCAAACATATTTGCCTTGTGAGGTTTTTCTTGTAAGTTTGCAAATTTGTAATCTTCTCTTTGAGAAAAGAGTGTTCTCAAGAATTGGGGTATATTCTTGAGGGGGTTTTAAGGTTATCTCTTTGGCCTCAAAAGAAAGAACAAATTAGTGAATTTGTTGGAAAATCCTTACTGTGGATAGCTAAGGTAGTGGATGTAGACTTTGGTTGATAAAGTCAAACCATTGTAAATCGTTGTGAAATTACTTTCAATTTTTGCAAAAGCTTCCACCAAAATTTTTATTGCCAATTCACCCCCTCTTGGCCGATTCCATCGATCGATTAACTCAACAGTGTGGCAAATTAATATTGTATTTCCTAGCAATGTCAAGGATTTGCTGCAAATTTGGGTTTCACAAAAGATCAAAAAGAAACTTCGAGATCTTTGGAATCTCGGGTTCTTCGGTTTGATTTGGAAAATTTGGCTTTGTAGGAATAAAATAAGGTTTCAAGGTAACCCCTTTTCGGTTGATCAAATATTCAATTTAGCTATGATTCAAATAGGTGTTTGGGCTTATTCCAATTGGCCATCGTTGATTCAGAGTGTGCAAGACTTTGTTCGCTGCCCCGAATCCTTAGTGATTGGATGCTGCTGATTTTTGTTATGCTTCTTTGTTTATGTTTATGGTTGTCTGCTTGGTTGTTGGGTTTTGTTATTTCATGTTTGTTGCTGGTGGTTGCTAGCAGTGCAGTCTTTGTCTCTGCTCTTTGCCCAGGAAAGTCTTTGTCTCTGCTCTTTTCCCATGAAGCATTCCCTATATGCTGAGTTGGTGATTCCTCATACAGTTTTAGTTCGATTATCAGTCTGTCCGGGTTTATATATTTTGCGATAGCTCAATTATTGTTCGTGTTTCTGTTGCAATTTTGCTGAGTTTCCTTGGTCGATGCATATCTTCTTCATGGCGTTAGATTTTTCTGCAGGTTGTGTTATCTGTTTACAATTGTTCCGTTCTACGTTCACCCTTCTAGTTTGCTGTTTCAGCATTATTGTTTGGTGCATGGTATCTTAAAGCAATGGTTCTGTTTCCAGATTATGCTGCTCGGAGGCTTTAGCAGGAAATGTGCATTGGTTGGTAGTGTGTATGTCAATTTAGTTTTCTTGTTGGGGGCAATATGTACCTTTATTTGTGTAGATACTATGGTCTGTTTTAGCTTCGTCTTTTTGTACTTCTGCTATGATGAATTAAGGTTCAAGACTGTATATTCTTTCTATCTCGAGGTTCACTCTTTTTCCCTCAATTAGGCTTATGAGGGTTTTTTTAACGAGGTCCTTGGGGTGGTGTACTTTGTAATCTTGAATACAAAATACCAATTTTACAAAAAAAACATGACATATTAATTAAATATTAATTTTTAAAAACTTAAACATATTTTTTAATTTACTTTATTAAATTATTATAATTAATAACATCATATAAAAAGCTTCGTGTTTATGCTTATATTATATTAATACATCTTATTTGTATGTAAAGCTCATGTATATTTTTAACACAATGAACCTATTTTACTCATTTTATTTTATTTTATATAATATATATATATATAGTTTTTATTCGTTTTATTTTTGGATAATTCAATTGTTGTATTAATCCAAAAAGTATGCAGTAATACTGCAACTATACAAACAGCAAGCAAATCTGCAACTATACAATCGGAGAGTGGACCATCACTGGATCCCCCAAGCTATAGACGGACTTAAATTTACTCTAACAGATCGATTTATATAGCAGTTTTGTAAACGAATGCTAACCACTTCTCTGGCTAACAATTTTCTCAGTTGTACGACTAAACAGCCTATGATTCCTTTCCACCCATATATTATATAAAAAACTCAACCAAGCAAGCTTCAAAATGCAAACAATTAGATATTTACCTTTCAGACTTGGTTTTTAGTCGTTTTTTTAATTACTATCTAATCATAAATTATTAACAATTACATATGATTATAGCAAAATCGGTGACATCGAAAGATAATTTTACTATATTTTTTTAATGCATGAAAAGATAAAATTACTAATACTTAAAAATAATTTTAATAATTATTATAAAAAAATTATTAAATTCTAAATATATTTCTCTTAACCCATTTCCTATTATCTTTTTAATAAATATTATTGACATAAAAATCCTTAATTCTAAATTAATTAAATAAATTATCAAACAAAATTTTATTACATAGTGTAATCACTTTTTTAATTTTATATAGATTAATAGTAAGAAATGAAATAATATTTACTTAAAAAAATAAAAAAAATATCTTCAATTATATATTTTCATACATTCTAATTTATTTTATATTATGTAAGTTAATCTTAATCTAAAAATTATCCCATTAGATATATAATTTGAATTTAATTTAAAAATAAAAAATTGGAGTTGGAATAGAGAAAGTCGCAACTTACCGGGTGAAGACAACGAGGGAATTAGAAGACGAATAAGGCATCATCGGAAAAATTGTGCGATCCACACTGTAGTGGGAGGCACTAGCTAGCCCTTGATTCACTGATCCACGTGAGCCTCTTCATTTTCCTCTAAGAAAATTATATCAATGGGAACTTCACCGGCGGTGGGTGGGAGCCCGGAAAAGGAGCAGCAGGCCGCCGGAGTGGGAATTCTCCTTCAAGTTATGATGCTAGTCCTCTCTTTTGTCCTCGGGCACGTCCTTCGCCGGCACAAATTCTATTATCTACCTGAAGCCAGCGCTTCTTTGCTTATCGGTTAGTCAATTTTCTCAACAATGCATTTCTATCTGCAATTTTCAGTTTCCTTCGTCACAAAAATCATTTTCCTACCAGGTTTGATTGTTGGTGTACTTGCTAATATCTCCGACACTGAGATAAGCATCAGGTCTTCCATTTCTTTCCCATTATAATATATCATTATATATCAAAAAATTGCCTAACCGTGAATTTCATTTCTTATTTCTTTTGTAGGGCGTGGTTCAATTTCCATGAAGAATTCTTCTTCCTGTTTCTCCTACCTCCAATAATTTTATATCCTTAATTTACTTCTCCATAAGTAAAAATTTGATTCCTAGTTTTTTTCTTTACTGATTGTTTTTCTTAACTTCCTTTCGGTTTGTGGCACTCAATCAGGGTTCAGCTTATCACCTGTAAGTAGTATAAACTGTCTTTCACTTACTAATGATTTTGCATTCTCACCTCTTTTTACCCCTTATTTTTTTGCAGAAACCCTTTTTCTCCAACTTTGGAGCCATTGTCACATTTTCTATTCTAGGGACTTTCATAGCTTCAGTTGTTACAGGAGTTTCAGTGTGAGTATTTTTCATTATAAAGATATCAATATTTTCCCATTATACAAGTCCCCCCCCCCTCACTACCTTATAATTACGCCACATGTGCAGCTATATTGGCGGTCGCATGTACCTCATGTACGGACTTCCTTTTATTGAATGCCTAATGTTTGGCGCTCTCATATCAGCTACCGATCCTGTTACGGTTCTCTCCATATTTCAGGTCAGGTTTTTGTGCTGCCGTCCTGGTTACCTATCATTGATGGGTTAGGTACTTAGGTTAAACAAAAACATTATACTAGAATACATGTTGCACATCTCCTTCAACGCTGAATATGCAAATTTATTAAGATCTATTATATTGCAATAATTTGGATGATCAGAAAAGAAAAATAATATTCACTTATTTAACTGTGCTTATTTCTTGCTGCTGCCAAAACACCTGTTTTCAATTTTGAAGTATCATTATTCCACTTTTTTCCTGTAATCTTTATTTAGTGAAATTAACTTAGGATTGCAAATTTGGTTTCTTGTGCCATTTGAACCTGCTTCCCATGAAGTTGGTAAAAGGGAAAAGTGAATAAAGAAAGAAAAGTAAAATTATGATTGTTAGTGAATGCAACACCAAATCTAAGTAATTTTCTTGTAAAAGAATAAGTATGAATTTTATTCTTCCAAAAATATTGGGAACTTATTGTTCAAATATTAAGGGTATTTGATTGTCTATATTGTTGGATTAAGCTTTTTCGCTTCCAAGCTTTTTCTGCATCACAATCTTTCTTTCAGTTGCTAACTCGTCGACTTTTACCTTTAAAAAGAAAAGGCATGGATATACTCTCATTCCCTTACAGCCCTTGTTCTGTAATTGATGATCTTACTTGCAGTAGTATCCAAGCAGTCAACATAACAAATAAGAGGAGTATCCAAGTTTTTTTTTTTAAAGGGCTTATAGGCCGGATTTCGGATTTTTGTTGCAATGAAGATGTTGCAACAGATAGACCAAAGAAATTATCTTCACCACTTGCCATAGGCGTGTTTTAGTGAGAGAAGCTCCAGCTTCTCTCTAACCTAGGTGTTTTCAATTTTCAAATTTCTTATTTCCACGAGCCCCGGCACCTCTCCTCCGACATCCACCAGTCGTCCGCAGTTGTCGTCCGCCACCCGCCGCCGCCACACTCCGACCTCCGTTTTGACGCTGTTTTTTGCTGGGTAATTCGTCGGCTCAAGGTGTTTCTTTTTCTGGGCTTGTTTTTCCGAGTAAGACTCTTATTTGACGCTGATCTACAAGCCGCTCACGGCCGTTTTCGCCTCCATCCGTTGCACGTTCGCTGGACATCGCATCTCCACCGTGTTCAGAGCCTTTTTGCTATCAATACCCATTTACTTAGTGTCGAGATTAGTTGCATCTCTCCATTATTTTGCACTGAGCAATTTCGGCAAGATCAGGCGCTCGCTACTTCTATCTTTCTGCTTGACTCTTTTGGTGGATTTCTTCCGTCACTGTTGTTGAAGCTTTGAGCTCTTGTTCTGGAACTTTATTTCCAGGGGTGATACGTAGACTCAGTTTACTTCTTCTAGCCGGATGTATTAAAAGACAGAAGCTCCTGCTTCTATCTTGTTTATAGATCTTTTCTCCGTTTTCACTGGTTTTCGTAGCCATCCGTCGCTTCTCCTTCGCAGGGCGTGCGTCCAGATTAGTTCGTCAAATATATGGGTTTTTCATTTCAACAGTCTTTATCACATGCCGGGTGCTGGAGTCCTCTTTTCTCTCCAGCAGAGTCCTTCGGTCCAAGTTCCTCCAACCACTGCAGCAACGCATTCTCTGTCATCTAACCCTTCTCATCATGATGAGGTTCGCACTATCTTCATTATGGGTCTGCCTGAAGATATCAAAGAGAGAGAGCTGCAGAATTTTCTGAGATGGCTTCCGGGTTTTAAAGATTCGCATTTGAGCTTCAAGGGAGATAAGCCCAAGGGCTTCGCTCTCTTCTCAACTGTAAATTTTGCAGTCGCTGCTAAGGATGTCCTTCAGAAAATGGTTTTTGACGTTAAGTTGAGGTCCCTTTTACACATTGAGATGGAAATGAAGAATCTTGTTGTTAAAAGAGGAGTAGTTACAAATTCTGTTGCATTTGACAGGAATGGAGGTTTTCCTATTCCTCCAGTTCTGCTATTGCCAATTCCAGCTTCTGTAGCATCTCCTAGTGTTCAGGTGCATGTTAAAGCGGTGTGTTGTGATGGTAAATCTGCTGTTAATGGTGTACAAAAAGGATCCAGGGAGTCAATCACAAAGGGGGGCAGTGTTGACAAGTCTGGATGTTTCACGTTATTTGTTGAACATTTACCAAAGAAGATCCATTGGAAGAGGTTTAGATCTTTATTTTGCTCTCATGGTCGGGTACTTGATGCTTTTATTCCTAATAAAAGGAATTTAAAAGGAGATCGTTTTGGTTTTATTTGCTTCGCATCATTCGAAGAAGCAAGGAGAACGATCTCAAAAATGAATGGATCTAATATCGACGGTAGCAAAATTGGTGTTTCTTTCGCTAAATTCAAACCTCGAAATTCCTATTGGAGAAAGTCTTCGACAAATGTTCTTCACAAGTTCGGGATGGAAGATGATTCCAGGAAGAATCATTATAAAGTTGAAGGTGTTATAGATGAAGAAAAACTTCAGGTGTTGAGCAATTGTCTAGTGGGGTGGTGTAAGGATTTTGTCAAAATTGGTCATCTCGCTAGACAAATGCAAGCGAAGGGCCTCACTGGCTTCACCTTAATGAGAACTGCTGGAAATGCGATTTTAATGATTTTTGAAGATAATGCTTCATTGAGAAGTGTGAAAAACGACAAATCAAAGATTCTCGCAGAGTGGTTCTCCATTGTCGAAGTTTGGTCAGAGAGATTGGTAATGGAGTGTCGTCGAGTATGGTTAGTTTGCGAGGGTGTTCCTTTTCACGCATGGAATTGGGATACTTTCAAGAACATTACGGATAAGTGGGGTCTTTTACTAGCTATCGACGAAAGTTGTCAGTCTCCATCATCCTTTGATCGGGCAAAAGTTCAAGTCCTCACAAAGGCTGATGCGAGAATTGATGCGATGGTTGAATTGAAGGTTGGTGACAACTTCTTCAAGGTCATGGTGCATGAGATAGAGCCTTCATTCAAACCAAATTCTTGGGCTCCTAAAGAAGACGAGTCTCTTTAGATCTTGTCTCTTCATTCGTGGTTTTGTTTTAGTCTATATGATTGTAGGTGTTGCTTTTATTTGTATTATGTTTTGTGGCGTTGTTTTAGTCCTACTGCTGGTGGTGTAATTAGAAGTATGGTGATTTGATTGTGGCTTTAGATGAGGGTATTTGAGGTTTAGGTGTTTGTTGTAATGGGGTATATCACCATAAGAGGATATTTCGTGGTGTCTTTTGTATCGGGTATTATTATTAATAAAATATGAGGTACTCTTTTCTTCCTTCCAATGTTCGTTAACATACTTTTAGTATGGGAACGAATATGAAGGGAGTTTTTAATGAGACCTCCAACTTCTATAAAAAAAAAAGTTTTTTTTTAATACTTATAGAGCAGTAGTATCCAAGGTTTTAATGAGATATCAGTTTTTAGTTATAATGGCATAGAGATATCTAAGGTTTTTTTTCCTTTTTAATATTTATATAGCAGTAGTATCCAAGCAGTTAACATAACAAATCATCCCACTTCTCCTTTTAGACCTTGTATCCATGTATGATGATCTTAATTGCAGGAACTTGGCACTGATGTAAACCTTTATGCTTTGGTCTTTGGAGAATCTGTCTTAAATGATGCTGTAAGTTTTTGTAGCATGTTGGTTCCTTGTTTCCTGTATTTATCATCTTATGCGTGCATGCACAATATTTACTGGGTGGAATGGTTCTTTATGTAGATGGCAATATCTTTGTACAGGTATGTGATGTACTTGCAGTTGTCCTCTGATTGGTTTGTTTAGTTCGGTTTAAAATTAAAGTCTTGTTTCTCTACGCAGGACAACATCCCTTGTAAGAAATCATGCATCTGGACAGAACTTCTTTATGGTGATTGTCAGGTTTCTTGAGACCTTTGTCGGTTCTATGTCTGCAGGTTTGTCTTAACTTTTGGTCTTGCTGAGTCTATTTCCCTTACACTATAATCTGCTTGCTAATTTATCTTTTTAATGGAAGAATAAAATGAAACATGTTTTGTATGCTTCATCATTCAAGTGAATACATGGTAAATATTTGTTTTTTGCCAACTTGTAGTCTGTTCTTCTAAATTTTGTTTGAAACCCAACTGTACAAATAGGAGATCTACTCTTAATGATTTCATTCTTGATAACTTATTGATTGATATTCTATCCTTTCCATACTTGTATGTCCTTTTAATCACAAGCACTAAGAAACTTTCCTTGTTGCTCTGCAGGTGTTGGAGTTGGATTTGTTTCTGCTCTAATATCCTTTTTGATCAACTTTGTATTTATATGCCATTTTTAATACTATAGATTACAAGATATTGTTTGTATACCTTTAAACCTTAACTCCTATAACCTCTTTAAGTATGCTGGATTAGATGTTGACAAGTAAGTATTGCATTTGCATCTTTTGGTTTCTTTATGAAGCTTCTTAGCGTTATAATTTTTTAATCACTGACCACGGTATCTTTCATCATGCTTTTCTCAGTCTTCAAAACTTGGAGTGCTGTCTCTTTGTTCTTTTTCCTTATTTCTCGTAAGCAATTATACAGCCCTATATGTTCTCCCCCCCCCCCCAACACCTTTTAAATGGATTCATGAAGCAGTTAATACTGAAAATATTTTGCCTTTCTAGGTACATGCTTGCAGAGGGAATCAGCCTCTCTGGTATTGTGTCGATATTGTTCACAGCAATTGTAAGTGAACTTGTATTGCTGATCTAGTAGCATATGTTGCCGGCTGATGCAGCATGATGAACAATTTCTTTGTTTTAGGTGATGAAGCACTACACATACTCAAATTTGTCAGAAAATTCTCAGCGATTTGCATCTGCTTTTTTCCACCTAATCTCATCACTGGCTGAGACATTTACGTAAGGGATTTTTATTTATATGATGTTAGCTGATAATTTTGTGCACGTGATAACTTCTCTTTTTGACATTTGATTCTTTCAATTTTCCCAGATTTATTTACATGGGTTTTGATATTGCAATGGAAAAGCACAGCTGGTCGCATGTGGGATTTATCTCTTTCTCAGTTGTATCCTATCATCATCATCATCATTATTATTTGTGAACCTTGGTTTGGTGGTTGCATTGATTTTTCAGTGTCATTGTTATTCCTTTACTTGCTTCATGATCATGCCAGTTATTTATTGTAGTTGCCAGGTAAATGAGATTTATTGATCTTTCAATTTTTAAACCATATGTTCTTGACGGATCCCGTGTATATTAATAATTAATGCAGTTATGTAATTGAATCTTTAGGGCAGCCAATGTCTTTTCTTGTGCATATCTGGTCAATTTGTTTCGTCCTGTACAACGGAAAATACCTTTAAATCACCAAAAAGCTCTCTGGTATAGTGGTAAGTAAAATCCTATCTTAATCATAGTTGATTTTTTATACCTTCCCAAAGTACTAAATTATTATTAACTTGATTAGGTCTTCGAGGAGCAATGGCTTTTGCCCTTGCTCTGCAATCTGTTCATGATCTTCCAGAAGGACATGGTCAGATTATATTCACCGCAACCACTGCCATAGTTGTTTTGACGGTATGGTCGAAGAACCTTACTTTTAAATGAACAACCAATTGTTTGAAGTATACTGAAAAATAATTTCCAAATATATTTTGCAAGTGCTAAATTTTCTTATCCATTCAGTGCTTATTGCTTAGATCTGAGGGCAGTAGTTATAAATACACTGCAGTTTGCTTTGTCGTAATTGATACTTGTTCTTTAAGTAACTGTTTATATTTCCCGATATGCCACAGGTTTTGTTAATTGGAGGTTCGACTGGTACAATGCTAGAAGCTCTTCAAGTTGTGGGAGATAGCCACAGTGGTCACTTAGGGGAAGTAAGTTTCACTAATACTATAATCTCTAAATTTTATATTAAATATGCAAGTGAGCTCAGGCCTAAAAACAACTTTGTGGATGTTTAGAATATGTGATTTCTCATTTTTTTTACCTCTTCTTTTTTCTTCAAAGCTTCCATCTTTCTTAGCTTTACAGATTGAGTGATTTTAGAATCTGTTTGACTGACCATTAATTCCATTGTAGAGCTTTGAAGGTAACAATAGATATGTCGCTCCATCTTATAACGAAGACGGACCATCCGGAAACAGGTTTAAGATGAAATTGAAAGAGTTCCACAAAAGGTAATACATAGATTTTTTTTGGCATGGATTATATTAAGTGTTTGAACCCTCGTCTATGGAATGCCAACAAGAGGCCTTAACCACAGCTCCCTTATGTTTCTGGCTATGTAAAAAAATTTAACTTCCATTTATGTATTAATCAACTAGTTTCTTTCATTTTATTGAATTTAAATCTTATCTGACCTTGCAGAACATCATCATTCTCTGCATTAGATAAGAATTACCTCACCCCATTCTTCACAAGCCAGAATGAAGATGACGAAGATGGTAAAATTCACTTTAATTCTTTTTTACTGCGTGAGATATATGTATATGTTATTATATTTCTCTATTTTGGTTTTCATAGCAATGTGGTGTAAATCTCTCTTTTTCCCGGAAATTTTTTAGATCAGCCGATGCCCAGTTCTAGAAGGGGAGGGTTTTATGGCCAATAGACAGTGTCCTCAAGAGCAGCTACAAGGAATTAACTCTTTGGTACGTACACATGTAATAAATGTTTATGTATTTCACTTCAAATCAAATAAATGAAAACGTATAGACAAATGTGCCGATATCGGATTTGTAATGGAAACCCTGTACCTTTATCTTTGTGCATCATTAGTGGCATAATCGATATAATCAGTAGTGTGTCGATCAGAATGTGGAGGATATAGCAACACTTCTCTTTTGATCTTGAAAACGTTACGTGAATAGAATGTCTATAAGTTCAATCACAAGGCATTACCAGTAGTCTCCGCAAGAACAAGACCCACCATAGAAATGATGGAACCGATTGGTATCTCTTACGATGATTTCCCTTTTAACAACTCGGGATGCAAATTTAAATGCCGAGTGGCAGTCGCCACACACTCTGATGTTCTTCTTGATATGGATTGTGGATCCGGGAGGAGAGTTGAGGAGTGCAAATGCCAATGCGAGCTTCTCGCTATGGTACTGCAACTTCACTTCCCTCTCTTGATGATCCATGTAGAAAAGTACATGGCTCGTGTCGGGGACATATCCGATCTCCTTGATTCTCATGCTAATCTCCTCCCACTTCTTATGGATTGCTTCCATCTGTGGGTGGGAGTCATCATTTGCCACAAACATATGGACTGCATTCTGAATTTCAACCCAACTGCAAGCAGGCTCCTTCTTTATCCCACTCTCTTTCATCAGTTTTCTCACCTTAGCAGCATCTCTCCATCTATCACCAGAAGCATAGATATTGGAGAGCAAGACATGGGGTCCCGAATCGGTAGGATCAAGCTCAAAAACACGTTCAGCAGCAAAACTGCCCATTTCCACATTCTTATGCATCCTACACGCACCAAGCAAGGCTCCCCAAACAGCTGCAGTGGGTATGATCGGCATTTCATTTATGAACCTCTTGGCTTCTTCAAGAAGGCCGGCTCGACCGAGAAGATCTACAATGGTAACATAATGCGAAATCCCAGGTTCAATATTGTATTTCCTCATCAGCTTGAAATAGTATCGCCCTTCATCCAAGAGGCCAGCACGACTGCAAGCAGTGAGAAGGCAAAGGAACGTTATATCGTTAGGGGCGAGTCCGACCCGCAGCATCTCTAGAAAGAATTGCACTGCTTCCTTGCCGAGCCCATGCTGGGCATATGCAGTGAGCATGGAGTTCCAAGACACCAAATCACGCTTTGCCAACCTATCGAAGATCATTTTAGCGTCTTGGATGCTACCGGATTTAGCATACATGTGGAGGAGTGTGTTGCCCATAAAAGCAATGATCTCTCCGCCGGATTTGATCACATGGGCATGAACCCATTTGCCCTGTTCTAATGACCCAGTGGAGGCACAGGCACCAAAAATGCTGGAGAAGGTGAAATGAGTGGGTTGAAAATCATGCCTAAGCATTTTCAAAAAGAGACATAGAGCATGATCAACTTGGCCTTTCCTAGCATGACCCGCGATCAAAGCATTCCACGAGACCTCGTTCTTCGTAGTTAGCATATCAAAGAGAAAATGGGCCTCATCCATGCAACCACACCGAGCATACATGTCCAAGAGCGAGCTGCCAACGTAAACATTGGAATGGAAACCACACTTGAAACCGAACCCATGAAGTTGAGTACCATGGAAGTAGATTTGGGTTGTTTTCGGGAGCGCAGCCGAAGCCTTCAAAAGGCTAGACAAGGTGAACTCATTGGGAAACAAACACTGGGAAAGCATTTGAGGAAACAAAAGGAGAGCATCGAAAGGACGATCATGCTGAGAATAAGCAGTGATCAAGGTAGTCCAGGTAACCATATCTCTAACAGGCATTTCGTCAAACAAATTGCGAGCATCATCCAAACAACCACACTTTGCATACATATTCAACAGCGTATTGAGTATAACAGCATCATCTCGGAAAGGGGAGTTCAAAATGTGGGCATGAACGATTTTCCCAAGGTTGGGCTTTCTCAAGAAGGTGCATTTTTTGAGCAAGACATGATAGAGTGTTGAATTGGGTTCCAAAGAAGCCTCATCGAGGAGGTCAAGGACATGAAGCCCAGTCCCTGAGGGATGCAAACTCTTAACAAGAAGGTCCTTATCTTGAATGATGCCAGATGAAAAAGGCTCTGATATTTGTAGGCCATTGGATGCAATCGCGACGGTGCTGAATCGGGAAGCAGATTGGGTGTCATTGAGTGGAGAGAAGAAGACGATCCTTTTGCATTTGAATTTCCTTATTATAAAGTTCATCACCTTCCGTTGAAGAGAATCAACGAATTCAATGTTCTTAGATGCTTAAACGTTGTCACTGTAAAGGCGGTGCTGGAGATCTATATATTCTAAACCCAAACAACAAGGAATAGATAAGGACCAGAAAGACGGCGAGGGCGGCGCTACAGTACGCTTTGGAAAGACTTGGGAAATGTTCCTTATTTTCTAAAAAAATAAATCAAAATTCTAGCCTAATTTGCCGGAACAAAGCATGGCGGACATTGGTGGCTCTATTTCCTCTGGAAAAAGAAGTTTTGCGAGCGAAAAAGAGTCGGAGAAGGGGAGGAAGAGGAGTATGTGTTGGACTGGGCTGGTTGGGTTATCGTTATAGCCATATGGGCTGGGTTATACAGATACATGGCTTTGAGATTTTTATTTTTTTTAATTACGCCTTTTTGGGTATCGAGTTCAACACGAGTAAGTAAGGATGAATATTTAATCTGAATTTGATGAGTTCAGATATTATAAGTTTTTTTGTGAAAATTTTCAATTTAAATAAATGGCTGTCCCTTTTTTCTCATATGTATGGGGTAAGGGGAGATAAGATAGTAAGTTGCCTCCAACATCAGGTTGAGATCAACTTTCGCAGGAGACCTCCGAATTATGAAATGTCCTCCGTGGGATTCGATCCCACGACCTCAATTTAGATGAGATTAAATTTTTTAAATGATAAGATTGAACATAGTTCGGATTTATGTGAAGAATATTCAATTCGTCGAAATTAACAATATAATTGACCTTTATAATTTTAAAGATAATTATTATAACACACTTTTAATTAAATCTTTATTTTACTTGATAAAAACAAGAAATATATTTGTATCTGCTCATATCATTGGTTGGATAACTATTTTTGGTAGGCTTCCCACTAAGAATCGTTTGCTTCGGATGAAACTTGTTGTGGAGGGCAATGCGTGTTTTATGATACTTCAGAAATCAGGAACTACCTATTATTTAAGTGTCACTATTCTAAGGGTATATGGGAAACGGTTTTGATCACGTGTAATCTCTTGAGAGGACGTTATGCTGGGAGGAGGAATTAGAGTGCGCCATTATGCATTTCAAGGGTAAACTTTTGATCATTTATATCCTTAAAATTACTTGAAATACAGTTGTTTACTATATTTGGGAGCAGCAAAATGGTAGAAAACTTAAAAGAGTGGTTAGGAAACAAAAGACGATTATTAATGTACTTAAAGAAGAGATGAGGATTAAACTTGGGATACAAACGTTGACAGAGATGATGATGTAAATAGAATGCTTTGTAATAGGTGGGACATTCTTTCTTAGAATATCTGTTACTTTTTATTAGATGTCGTGTTGATTGGTGTTTATAGTAATTTTTATTACTTTTTTGGATAATATATACAATTTATCTAAAAAATTTCAAATAAATTAAAAGTATAATCCAATTTAATTTATAACTATATTTATAAAGTAAGATGAGCTCGAAGAGAATTAAACTTAAAAATATTTATATTAATAAAATATTTATTTTGAATTAATTTACGACCGGATACTTTAGACCGCTGGGATAGACGAGAGAAATTATTTTCTTAAAATAAATAAAATAAATAAAAAGGAGCGTATTGGAGATTTTTTTTAATTAAATATCATTAAAACTGTGGAACTACAGCACGTGAAACATTGTCCGCTATAGTAATTTCAAATTTGAAAAAGAACACCAAAATCCCAAACGGTAACGCAATTCGCTTTAACCATTTAAACGAGAAACCAAAAATTTTCTTTCCCTTTCCCCAACAATTCATCATTGTTTTCGACTTTCAATTCGAGAAAGCATATTTCACTTTCGTTTCAAATCATCGGATCATTTCTTTTTTATTTTTCTGTTTACCAATGGAAGATTCCAACGATTTTCATTATCTATGGACCGACCCTCTTCTTCTTACCGACGTTTCTTGGCAACAAAACACCTCTAGTTGTAAGCATTTCCACTCATCAAATCAATTTTCCAATTCATTTTACTTATTTATTTATCTCTTTTTTTCTTTTTCTTTATTTTCAGATTCTGATGCAGCTAGGGCTTCCTGCTTAGAAAGCCCATCAATGTTCGATTCGGATTCTTCCCTAAACAAAATTCTAGTAATTTTTTCTGTTTCTTTTGAAGTATTTTTGAAAATGAAAAATTGGGTTTTAATTCTTTTCACTCTTTGATCTAAATTAACTTTAGGTTTTTGTTTTTAGCTGATGTAGATGATCCTGAGCAATCGCAAAGCTCTAATGTAATTAGTACGTCACTTAGAGAAATTGATGGTAAAAATACCTTCGATTTTGAAGAAATTTCGAAAATAAAAAATAGTTTCGAATCCTTTCTACTTCTTATTGATATAAATTAACTATGGGTTTTTGTTTCTAGCTGATGTAGATGATCCCCAGAAGCTGCAAAACTTGAATGTAATCAGTACACCACATAAAGAAATTGCTGGTAAAAGAACTTCTCTTAGAAATAAATTTTCTCCTTTTTGCACTGGATCCAAGTGTTTTAAGGATGTATTTTTTAATTAAAAAAATTGGTTTTCAGGCCGATCCATGTTGGGATTTTCTCTATCGTCACCAGACCTTGTTATAAGCACCGGATCACCCGATATTCCATCAAAAGCCTATGGAGATTCCCCTGAATTCTTGGGGAAACATAGGTGTTCATTTGAGCTTTCTTTAGAGAATGGCATTGATGGATCTGATGGTAGTAAAGCTAAGGTCAAAACTCCCACTGTAAAGTTCTCCACAGTGTGCCAAACATTCCACAAAGAACTGTCCCCCGAATCTTCCTTCGAGCTACTTCCATTACCAGAAACTGCAGACAATAAGCATGAAAACCTTCCTGTTATAAGAATCAATGCAGGGTGCTTAACCGGAACAGCCAAATTCGAGGGTGTAATTTATTCGAACGATAATTGTTATGAGGGTGGTGATGTTATAATTATTGGAGATGGAGTGGGAAAGTCATTATATGACACAGCTCGAATCGGCGACTTCTCATACAACTTTTCAACACTAAAGTCTGGCTTTTATGCTATCAATCTGCATTTTGCAGAAATAGTTTTCACTAGCGGTCCCTCGGGAATTAGAGTGTTTGATGTATTTATACAAGAAGAGAGGGTAAGAAAATCGAATTTGAAGCTTCCAATATCACATTATACTAAATCAGTTTTATTATTTGATCAAGTTGATTTGACATATTGCAGGTTGTGACTAGCCTAGACATATATGGCAAGGTTGGTGCAAATAAGCCTCTGGTTATATCTAACATTAGAACTTTTGTTGATAGTGGAGGAGGCTTGCTCATTAGATTTGAAGGATTAATTGGGAGTCCAATTGTATGTGGCATCACTATAAGGAAAGATTCCCCTGAAAGTAAGTTTACACATTTTTGCAACTTTTCTCTGTTAAAGTAATTCTTGTACACCTTAGTCTGACACGTATCTAGAAATAGGTACCGGGGCAATGTCCTCCAAATATATAGAAAAACTTAGAAAATTTTAAGCATACCAATGTTGGACATATACCTTGAGGTAACATCGGGCATGATTGTTTAAGGTTCTCTGGGACAAACCTCATTTTATAAGCTAGAAGGGTTGACAAATTTTTTGATAAGATATAATTTCATGAAAATCATCTATTTATTGGTAAGAAACAAAATTTGTTCTTGAAGTCGAGAAGAACTCAAAGCTTTTTACCGGACAAATTTGTGAAACAGGTTTTAAAGAAGCTGGATCAGAGGAAATCATGGGAATGGCTGAAGTGGGAGCTCATGAATCACCAAGAGTAATGGAACTTCCTATAGTGTTTTTCTGTGCTTGAATAGAACGACTTGAAATTGGGAGTCGAGAAAACTGAGATCATTATAATATATCAGTTGCAGGATATTACTGACGATGAGGTAGAAGTAAAGTATCAAAGCCTGCAAAGAGATTATGAGTGCCAAAAGAAGGAATTAGCAGAGATGAGGAGTGCCTTGGAAGGGCTTAAGAGGGAGAACCAGCTCAAAACTAAAGAGTGTCAAGAGGCTTGCAAATCCTTACAGGAACTTCAAAATGAGCTTATGCGTAAATCAATGCATGTTGGTTCATTGGGTAAAGTATTTCTTTCTTTTTTTTCCCCTTTTGATAAGCTGTAAATACCTTATAGTTATGTGTATACGGAATGGATGATGTTGCTTTTATGTATAGCTTTTGCAATTGAAGGACAAGTGAAAGAGAAGAGCAGATGGTTCTCATCATTGAGGGACATGACAAGAAAATTGAAGGTAATAATTGGAACTCAATGATGCATAGTTAGCCGTTACAAAGCTAGAACTGTGATCATAAAAGTTTAAAAATGTTCCAATTAGCAGATAATGAAAATGGAACATATCAAACTATCAGAGGAGGTATCACTTTATAAGAGTTGCATCATGGATATCGATGATATTGGCACTAAAATTCTGTCGAGAAGTAAGTTAGCACTACAACTTACAAGCATATTTACTCAAACATTCAGTTTTTGAATTGTTTTATGCATATTTGCTTCCCTTTTCAATGTAATCCTATTTATCTGTCAAAAAGTAAACCAGCAAGAAGATTTGCATGAAGATCTCAAGACTAAATTTGTCAAAGGGGCCAAAGAAAGGAAAGAACTGTACAACAAAGTTCTAGAATTGAAAGGTTAATTAAGTTGATTATTTAATATTTAAAATATATGAAATAAGTTAGAAACTTAGAGCCAAACTAAAATTTCCTATTTATTGCAGGTAACATACGAGTCTTTTGTCGGTGTAGGCCTCTAAATTCTGAAGAAATAGCAGCAAGAGCTTCAATGGCTATTGACTTTGAATCTGCAAAAGATGGTGAACTCAGTGTGATATCAAATGGTGCTCCCAAGAAAACCTTTAAGTTTGATGCTGTTTTTGGCCCTCAAGCTGAGCAATGTAATGCCATGACTTATAGCTGTTTTGGACATAAAGCAACTGTAGTATCAACAATATTCTTACTTCTATGTTTACATTTCTTGTTTCATTCAGCCGATGTTTTTCAAGACACAGCCCCATTTGCTACCTCAGTTCTAGATGGCTTCAATGTCTGCATTTTCGCTTATGGGCAGACAGGGACTGGGAAAACTTTTACAATGGAAGGTAAAAAAGAAGCTCGTGGAGTTAATTTTAGGACTCTTGAGGAATTGTTTCACATAATCAATGAGCGAAAGAAGTTCTGTCAATATGAGATATCTGTCAGTGCATTAGAAGTCTACAATGAACAGATTAGAGATTTACTGGTGCCAGGCTCTCAGCAAGGCGTGATGACAAAAAGGTATGGAATTTGTTTAAGCATATATTTTTTCAATTACATTTCACTTTTAAGGAGTAATAAAATTAAGATGGATAATTGATCTTGATGAGATATAACATTATGTGCTTGTGCCTTAAGAAATTCTGTGTAAAATTGTTAATTTAAACCATGAATAATGACTGCTACTAAAATAAAGTCATTCTTGGGAACTTTCAAATGGCTAAAATCCTTTTACATTGATGTGGCTCATTGTAGACTTGAAGTAAGGCAAGTGAGTGAAGGAGTGCACCATGTACCGGGTCTAGTTGAAGCACATGTAACCAACATGAATGAGGTGTGGGAGGTTTTACAAACCGGCAGTAATGCAAGGGCTGTTGGCTCAACCAATGCCAACGAGCATAGCAGCAGATCCCACTGGTCCATCAATTAAATTTTATTTTAAATTAATTTGGCTCATATTGCACCAAATGTCTTTCAATGGTGCTAAAATTTGGCTTACGGTTCTCTCTCGGTGCAGCCTACATTGTGTGATGGTTAAGGGAGAGAATTTGTTGAATGGGGAATGCACAAAAAGCAAGCTATGGTTGGTGGACCTAGCAGGAAGCGAACGAGTAGCAAAAAGCGATGTTCTTGGTGAAAGACTTAAGGAAACTCAAAATATCAACAGATCTTTGTCTGCACTTGGTGATGTCATATCTGCTCTTGCTACTAAAAGTCCCCATATTCCTTTCAGGTTATAAAAAACACAGAGACAAATACTTTTACCCTATTAAGAACGCCATATTCCTTACTCAACTATAATCATGCAGGAACTCCAAGCTTACACATTTGCTTCAAGACTCTTTAGGTGCATTTTTATCTTTATTCCCTATGGTGAAATTACTCTGATATAAACAATGAAAATAACTGATGATAAGGTTTGTGTTTTTTATAGGAGGGGATTCAAAGACGCTCATGTTTGTACAAATCAGTCCCAATGAGAATGACCTCGGTGAGACACTATGTTCTCTGAACTTTGCGAGTAGAGTTAGAGGGATAGAGTTGGGTCCGGTGAAGAAGCAAATGGACACCTCGGAACTTCTGAGATGGAAACCGATGGTGCAACCGACAACTTATTGGCAATATTTTCGAGCTTATCTTGTCATTTTGATGTTACTAATAACATTTTTTGTTTTTTGATGGTACATACAAAGGTTGAGAAATCAAAGCAAGACATGAAGATCAAAGATATGCAAATCAGGAAGATGGAGGACGCAGTTCATGGATTAGACTTGAAAATGAAGGATAAAGACCTAAAAAACAAGAACTTGCAGGAGAAGGTATTATTGATTATCAAACAATATTGAAAAACATTCAAATTTTAAGTAATGGGACTCTTTTATTGGTCCCCATCAATTGCATTTTTCCAGGTGAAAGAACTGGAGTCACAGCTACTCATTGAGAGGAAGCTAGCACGCCAGCATGTCGATACAAGGATCGCTGAGCAGCAGCAACAGCAACAAATGAAACAGCAGAATGATGAGAACAATAGTAATAATTTGGCGATGAGACCACCATTAGCAACTCGGCTTTTGGGGGCTAACAAGAATTCAAATGAAGTGAAAATTGGTACATTGATGAAAGTGCAAGTAAACCTTACTCGTCCACTTACAGAGAATAGCTCCAGGTCTTCTATACCTCTTTCTGTAACCGATGGTTCCATCAAGCACATTGATCCAGTCGAAAAAGAAAACAATCCCCAGGTTGCTGAACAACTGCGACTACCGACCAGAACCGGAAGAGCCTCGATGTGCCCTACAATACGTAGACTGCCACTATCCTCAGCTCCGAGGCGCAACTCTTTAATACCATTGCCAAGTATGCCTTGCTCAGCTCAGCTTGCACAGCCAGTTCTTCCATTTCCATCCCAACCGGATATAAAAGAAGAGGCAGATGAGTTTATACAGGAACAAATCATATGCAACAGCCCTAAACCAATGAAAAGTGGGAGTAAGAAGCTGAGCAGCATATTGAGACGAAGCCTTCAAAAGAAAGTTCAACTTAAGTCACCAATGCAGCAACATTTGAGAAGAGGTCTAAATGTGGGGATGGAGAGGGTTCGAGTTTCGATAGGGAGTCGGGGGAGAACGGCCGGTAGAGTATTGGTTGGCAATGGTAGAAAAGGAGGAACCAAGGAAACTCAGCAGAAACAGAGCCAGAAGGAAAAGGAGAGTGCATGGAATATTGGAACAGTTGGGAGGACTGCAATCTAATGGGCTTTAAGTTCATATTCCAATGTACAGTTGAATATGTATTCCTTTTGTTGCCTTGCATAGGCAACAGCTAAGAAAACACAAAAAACTGAAGTATGTAGAACTTGCCTAGATGATGCTGATCATCTGTGTTGGATTTTGTGATTGCCAATCTTAAATGGATTGTTTTGAATTATACGTGATTTCTACATGCTTGATAATCTTCACAAATAGGGGTGTTTAATTGGTTAAGTTGTCTGTCGTCAAATCAAATTATTCAAAATCTACTTAATTTGTTTTTCTTTAATCATTAATTGAATCATTTTTTAAATTAATAACCAAATTGAAAAAAGTATGGCTAATTCAGTCTATTTTTAAATTAATCAAAATTTGTAATAAGATTTATTTGGTTAGACTAATTTGAGTTTAATATATGTATTTCTTTTATTTAGGTTAAAATTTGATTGGGTCTCGAAAGTTTAATGGGATTGGATTTAAAATATACATATAATATATATATTTAATATTTTTGGCTACTTCAGTTATTTAACCGATAATCGAACTTTGAAATATACAACATCTAATTATTTGACTAATTAATCAAACTCTTGAGTTCTAAAGCAAAACCCTAAGCATCATTCTTAGGTCTATTATTATGATTATAAACATAATCATACTCATTAGAATTACTATGTTTTTAATTTAACTTCTCATCATCAGAGTATCGAGTCCTTTCCAAAACCATCTCTGCCCCTTCACACGACCAACGTGCACCCTTTTGGCCACCACCCCACCCACCATCTCAGGCGGCTTGTACTGCCTAATCAACGGCCACTTCATTCCGTCAAAAAACGGGTGCCGTTTAATATCCTGCGCACCAGTGGTGCATCCTAGCCTCTTTCTGGGTTCCTTTACCAGCAGTTTCTCAATCAAATCCTTTGCCTCCGAATTTCCCGCTTCTGCCACGTGGAGAGATTTCGTTTGTTTACTACTCGAAACTATATTCTGAAGCGTAATATCGTTATTAAAACCATTAAACGGTGTCGTTCCATACAATAACTCGTGAATGAACACTCCTTAAGCCAACCAGTCAACGCTGTTACCGTGGCCGTCACCGGAGACAACCTCCGGTGCCAAATACTCGTGGGTCCCAATGCATGAACGAGAAAATGCTGTCACCGACTCAGCTACATGTTGAGTTTGTATTCAATTTTTCTGTTATAAATTAGTTAGAAGCAGTTTTGAGTTAGTTAGGATGTTAGTTTGAAAAGTTGTATAAATAGAGGAACAGATTGGAAGTTATTATTATTGAATATACGAGAAGTAATTTTTTCCATTTTCCTATTATACTTTAACATGGTATCAGACTAGTCCAATTCCCTGGGCTTTTCTCCTTTCTCGGCCTTCTCTCGTTTTTCTTTCTTTCTTTCATCATTCCTGAAGCCCTTTCATCACCGCCGCATCTATCGCGATGCCATCCGCAATGGCTCCGATGACCGACTATGTGCTCGTCGATTTCAACCACCCGTTGTATCTCCATCCCTCAGATACTCTGGGCACGGTTTTAATCTCGCATCAGCTGTCTGGACCAGACAACTACACCGTCTGGAATCGTTCAATGCGAATAGCACTCCTCGCCAAGAACAAGTTGGGATTCGTCGATGGAGGGTGATGTCGTGACGATTTACAGTCTCCTCTTCAAGCTCAGTGGGATAGGTGCAACGCCTTGGTGCTGTCTTGGATCATCAATTCCATGAGCAAAGATTTGTCTACTGGAATTGTTTTTGCTTCCAGCGCTGCGTTCGTTTGGGCCGATCTCAAGGAGCGTTTTGATTAGGTCGACAGTTCTCACATTTTCATTCTTCATCGGGAGATTACGACGATGGTCCAAGGTTAGCTCTCTATTTCTGCATATTTCTCGCGTTTGAAGCTTCTGTGGGACGAGTACGATGCACTGGTTCCTTATTCGAATTGTACCTGCGAAAATGCTCGGTTAAATTCAAGCCATGTTTCTCAACAGAGGTTGTTTTAGTTTCTTATGGGGTTGAACGAATCATGCCATTCGCAGTCAATTGCTATTAATGCATCCTTTGCCTTCAGTCAACATCGCATATTCCATGATAAGCCAGGAAGAATCCCATTGCCTTCATCTATCTGGCGTTGTTCCTCTCATGGATTCTACAGCGTTGTATTCCAATGCTTCCGGTAATCGTCGACGATTTACTGGAGTATGTGATCACTGTAAAGTGAAGGGTCATAAAAAGGAGAATTATTATCGCCTTATTGGCTTTCCTCCTGATTTTAAGTTCAAAAAGAAGAAGGTTTCTCAAGCTGCCATGGTGACTCCCTCTACTCATGAGGTGCTTAATCCAGCTCCACCAGTTTTTACAAATGAACAGTATCAGCAGCTTCTGGGGCTTCTAAATCAATCTTCAGCTCAGAGTTCCAGTCCAGATTCCTCTGTAAATCTGGTAGGTACATTCTGTTCTCTTACTTATAATTCAATTGAATGGATTCTGGAGCAACTGACCATATTTTATCAGATTTTAAATGCATGCTTAATCCCTTGCCCTGTACATCCACTCCTAAATATGTTCAGCTGCCTAATGGTAAATCCCTTGTTGTCTCACATATAGGTTCTGTTAGGTTTCCAAATGGTCTTCAATTGTCTAATGTTCTTCGTGTACCTCAGTTTACTCACAACCTTATTTCTGTTTCAAAACTAGCCCATGAGTTAAATTGTGTTGTTTTTTTCTATCCTGATCTTTGTATATTGCATGATCTTTGCAATGACATGATGAGGGTGATTGGTAAAGAATATAGAGGTCTTTACATGCTCAGGTTTCCTGCAGATTCTGTTTCTTCTGTTTCTGCCTTAAATCATTCGGTTGTTGCATGTAATTCTTTTGTTCGTTCTGAAACTTTTCTCAATACTTGTAAGTCTGTCGATGCAAATAAAACAAATCTTTGGCATGCTCGTTTAGGACATGTTCCAGTTTCTCAGTTAAAAAAATTACCTATTTCATAATATGAATTTGCATCATGAATCTGTTCAAACTTGTTCTGTCTGTCCTTTAGCTAGACAATCTAGGCTTCCATTTCCAGTCAGCAATTCTAGGACCACTACTCCTTTTGCATTGATTCATATTGATTTGTGGGGGCCTTATCGAATTTCTACTAATGCTGGTAAATGGTTTTTCTTAACTATTGTAGATGACTACACTAGAATGTCTTGGGTGTACTTATTGAAGCTTAAGAATGATGTTGTTTCCTGTCTTAGAACATTTATCCTAATGGTTCATAATCAATTTTCTGTCTCAATTAAAATTGTTTGTAGTGATAATGGTCGTGAATTCTTTAACTCTGAGTGTTCTCCCTTGTTTGCATCCTTGGGAATTATTCATCAAAGTTCTTGTGTTCGGACTCCTCAACAGAATGGAGTTGCAGAACATAAACATAGGCATCTTTCAGAGGTTGCTCGGGCTCTTCATTTTCAGTCTCGAGTTTCTTTTACATTTTGGGGAGAATGTGTGTTAGCTGCTTGTTATATTATCAATAGGTTGCCTTCTTCGGTTTTATCTTGGAAAACTCCTTTTGAATTACTATACCATAAACCTCCTTCTTATGATCATTTTTGAGTGTTTGGGTGTCTCTGTTTTACAACAAATATTACTCCCCATGATAAGTTAGATGTTAGAGCCTTTGCTTCTGTTTTTTTGGGATATTCTCCAACCCAAAAATGTTATTTGTTGTTCAATCTTGATTCTAAAAAATTCTTCATTAGTAGGGATGTTAAGTTTCATGAAAATCAGTTTCCCTTTCACCAATCTTCTTCATTTTATGATTCTGATCCAATTTTTTTCCCATCCACTACATTTGTTTCTGATGATGATTTCTTGGTTCTAAATTCTCCACGTCCTCAACATTCTAGCTCCCTTCCTAATAATACTACTGAATTGAGTATTGTTACTGATGAACATCATTCTCAAATTCCAGTTCAGTCTTCTGCTTCAATAAGTGCATCTGTTCCTTCTAGGAAATCCTCTCGAGTATCTAAGCCTCCTACTTGGTTGAATAATTTTGTTTGCTCTTGTCAGTCTTCTTATTCTCACTTGCCTATTATACTCAAGTGTTTTTGTCTTCTATTTCTCAAATTTCTGAGCCTTAATCTTATTTTGAGGCTGTACAAAATCCACTTTGGGTTCAAGCAATGAAAGAGGAAATACATGCATTGGAGTCTAATAGAACTTGGTCTCTTGTTCCATTTCTACCAGGAAAAGTTCCTATTGGATGTAAGTGGGTTTATAGAGTTAAGTACAAAGCATCAGGTGAGGTTGAGAGATATAAAGCTCGCTTGGTTGCTAAAGGTTACAACCGAAAGGAGGGAATTGATTTTGTTGATACATTTTCTCCTGTGGTTAAAATAGTTACTATTCGAACCATTTTAGCACTTGCCTCCATCTTCTATTGGCCATTATTGCAAATGGATGTCTTCAATGCCTTTTTGCAAGGTGATCTTTATGAAGAAGTTTATATGCAACTACCTGAGGGTTTTTGCAGTCAGGGGGAGAGGATTGTGTGTAGACTGCAAAAATCATTGTATGGCCTTAAGCAAGCTTCTAAGCAATGGAATCTAAAATTGACAGAGGCATTGGTTTCAACTGGCTATGTTCAGAGCAAATACGATTACTCACTGTTTATCAAGAGGCAACAAGGTAAAATGGCCTTGATTTTAGTTTATGTTGATGATTTGGTAATCATAGGTGATAGTAGTGAATTGATTGCTGAATTAAAGCAAATGTTGAATAGCCATTTTAAAATGAAGGATTTGGGGGAGCTGAAGTATTTCTTGGGAATAGAGGTATTGAGGTCAAAGGGAGGCATACTTTTGAATCAAAGGAAGTATGCACTCCAGCTAATCAAAGATATTGGTTTGGAGGAAGCAAAGTTAGTTGTTACTCCACTAGAGCAGAATCTGAAGTTGACTACTTTAGATTATGACAAGATCGCGCAGCAGAATAATGAAGATGAACACAATCTGGTTGAAAAATCAATTTATCAAAGACTTATTGGGAGGCTGATTTACTTGACATATACAAGACCTGATATTACATATGCAGTTAATCTACTCAGGCAGTTCATGCAGCAACCTAAGAGATCTCATATGGAGGCAGCCTTAAGGGTAGTTAAGTATGTGAAGGAAGAACCA